CCCTCGTCAACGTCGATGAAGTCGATGTTGGCGATTTTCTCGATAATGGCGTCGACGCCCTCCGGTGCGTCAATCTCAAAGACCTTGAAGCCATCGTAGAGGACCCTGGCCTCACGGGGGGCAAGACGCCGTGCCGATGCCAGGGGCACGGCAGCGGCAGCGGCAGCGGCAGCGAGACAGGCGAGGAACTTCATGGCTGTTCGGAGATGTGCCGTAGGGGTGACGGGAACAAGAGGAACAAGAGAGGGCTCGGAAGACAGGCGGGCTTCACTTACACACCGGACTCCGAGGCAGGCGGTTGTTCTTTAAGAGCAGAAGATCCCTGCATGGATTGGACAAATGGCGGCCATCTCGGTCCTCCATGGGCCAGATCCCAGCAAGTGAGGTGCCTTGCCCTGAACCCCGCGTTGAGGTTCTCCCGCGAGAGGGCGGGTGGCAGCTCTCCTCGCATTCTGATTCACCAATGCCGCTGATCCATGACGTTTCTCTCGAGGATAGAGAGGCTTGGCGGTTGATAGAAAGAGGCAGGTGCCGTTACACTCGACGCATGCGCATGTAGGTTCGACTGAACCTTGGCTGTGCCCCGTCGCCGCTGACACACTGTCGAGTAGAGGGCCTGTGAATTCTTTGAAAAGGTAATAACGGCACAGTAAAGTGCCAACGGGCCCGACGTAGCCGGCATATAATAGCGGGAGAAGAGGTGAGATGGCTGAGAAGCGCGGCGGGGGTGGAGAAGATCCTGGGGTGGGAGCTTGGATGCGACAGGACATGGTCGGAGCTGGTTGGCCGCTTGGTGTTGCAGACATCTACGACCTTCCTAATAGGTGATACGGCAGACTGACGCGCCACCAGCTTGATGTTGCCAGTTCATGAGATCCGCGAAGAAGTCAATCAATCGTGAAAGGTAAAAATGATGTCCGAGTCAGCAGTAGCTGCATTCAATCCGAGTCTTCGGGTGACCCCTCGGCAACTGTTGAACACCTAGACCGTCATTCTCGCTGTCTGCTGTTTCGCAGCATGTCTTGAACTGGCCACTGCGTGTCTGGCCACAGGCCTAGCTCTGGGTTCATTTTCGGGTTCATTTTCCGCTGCTTTGTCAGTGTTGGGCGATATTGTTCGCAAATATGTCGTACAGCGTCAAGCTCATTTCGCTTTCCTGTGACATCTGGCAAGAAAACATGTCGCGTCCTGCGACTTCGACCTCCACTGTCTCACTGAGTCCTAGGCCCCTTGAATCCTCACGGAGCATGGCGTGCAGTATGAGACGGGAGCTAGAGCGAGAATGACGATACTGGTCATGCCCACTCGTTCTTTGGTGCCGCATTTCTTGTTCGAAATATCGGACGACTCCAGGTCCTGCTATGATCCTGAAGGGCAAGCCCTTGCTGCCATTCGATTCTCCGCGCGTGAACTTGCATGCCGGCAGATTGTTTCCGACCATCGCGTCAGCACGCCATCGCAAGGGCCCGCCACCGACTGCCGGGAGTCTGGTTGTGAACCGGCTCGTTGGGACAGCAGGCCGTTCGGCGGGGGAGCACGTCACCCACTCCATGTGGTCTGCTTGGGCGTCGCCAAAGAGCCTGCCATTGATAGAGGCATCTCGCATCGATCCTGGCTGCTCGATCACGATGAAGCTTCACCTCAAGTCAAAGGCTGAAGAGGAAACAGCAGGGCCAAGTCACGTGTCGCATGCCGTACCACAGCGAGACGCGCTAAAGCCAACGCTAGGCATTGTGCCTCAGGGCTCTTCAGGGCACCCAGGCCTTTGAGCCACTGACGGATCTCCCCGGCTCTGCCCTACGGGCGGGGACGTTGGGCACACCCACACCCTGTGCTGGCTGGGCCAGCCGCAATTCCAATGCCACGACTCCATTAGACATCACCGGCCCGCTTCATCATTCTCCATCCCTCGTCATCATCAGTGTCTATCCGACTTTTTGGTCGAGGGCCGATACGCCGACGGATGCTTCCCCATCAACATTGGCGCAAGCGCGTCTGATGAACGTCCGAGACTCCAATTGGCACCAGACATGACTTGGAACCCCGTCCCAGCGCGGCTCTGCGGCAAACAAGGCGGCTTCTTCGCTTGGCGGTGGAGGACGCTGACGCGTCAGGCCTGGGCTCTAGCTTGGTTGACCCCAAGGGCAAAAAGGCTGACAGGAGACATGCCACTCTTTGGCAATACGTCACATCATCTTGATGAAGCCATCGCACTCTTAGCCTTACCTGTCTTTTCCCATCTTTGCGGTTGCTTGCTGTCGGGGCTCAGACTTCGACATTGACCGAGATAAGACATTCTTCAGGGCCCTGAGCTCACCATATCTCCTCGCTGTTTCGGTTATTCTGCCATCGTCTGTTCACCCGCCGAGGCCACCAGGATTAGGAATCTCACTCCCAGCCCTGTTGATGAGGCTTGGGGACAAGCACGGATTCTCACCTTTATTCCTCCTTGCCCTTCTTCACCTCTCACCCCGCCCTTGCAACCATGTCAGACGTGCTCAGGCCGCCCCCCATGATACGGGAGCCATCTGGCGAGTATCATGAGACGTACAATGACAAGTATGTTGTCAAATACAACTTCAGCGAGATTGGTATGCAACGCCACACGTCTCCGGCGCGCGCTCTTAGGAAGCTGACCTGAACTAGATCAGGAAACGGCCTCCAGGGAGCTGACTGAGCTTCTCGCTGATCTTGAAGAGACTGGCCTTCAGACAGAAGTGCGAGCGGGCTACGATCAGACCCTCTTGGTGTTTGTCAAGGCGCCTCGTGAGCTCCTTGGAAACACCGTCTACAAGTCGAGGTGAACCGTCCGTCTCAACCTCTGGCTGCGCATAGAAACTAACCCCTCTCAGAGTCAAGGATTGGCTGTACGGCATTGTTGCCCACCATCCTGGAGGCACCAAGAATACTGTCGTTGATGCAGAGTATGAGGCCGAAGACGTTCTCTCCATGTATCATCTTGTCAATTGGAGCAAGGACCTTGGCGGCGCCGGCATCACGCCCGGTCTGGGCAAATGGAAGAACGTTGAGGCCGTCTTCCCGCTGCACAATGAGAAGATCAACCAGTCATTGCTGAAGCACCTGAGCAAGCGCATTTTCTTGACCCACGACGATCTCGACATGGTGCGAGACATTTGGGGATCCAAGGTCGCCTTTTACTTTGCCTTTATCCAGACGTACCTCGTCTTTCTCAGCTTCCCTGCCGTCACTGGCGTCTTTGCCTGGCGCTTCCTGTCCAACTACTCACTTTTCTATGCCATCCTGACCTGTGTCTGGTGTACTGTCTTTCTCGAATACTGGAAAATCCAAGAGGCTGACCTGGGCATCCGGTGGAACGTCAAAGGTGTTGGCCACGTCAAGGTCAATCGCCCACAGTTCAGGTACGACAAGGTCATCACAGATGAAGGGGGACGAACGCGGCATTACTTCCCCAAGAGGAAGCAGGTCATGCGACAGTTGCTCCAGATTCCCTTTGTCGCGCTCGCCACGCTGGCCCTGGGGTTTATCATCGTGTGTGTCTTCGCCATTGAGGTTCTCATCTCCGAGACGTACGAAGGCCCATACAAGTACTACCTCGAGTACTTCCCCACCGTCTTGCTGGCAGTGGCACTTCCCTACATCACGTCTTCCCTTGAGGACATGGCAAACACGCTCACCGAGTTTGAGAACCACCGGACGGCTGATAATCATGAGATGTCCCTGACACAAAAGATCTTTGTCCTCAATATTGTCACCAACTATCTTCCCATTCTCCTGACGGCATTCGTCTATGTGCCCTTTGGAGACGATGTGATCCCCTACCTTGAGACGGCTACGACAAAGCTATTGGGAAGCGTCGGCCAGCGTTTCCACAACACTACCTTCCACGCTGATTCCGATCGCCTACGAAACGAAGTCATTGCTCTCGTTGTTACCGGACAGATATCCGGCTTCTTTGAAGAGAATGTCTTACCCCTCGTCAAGCACAGATTCGGCGGCTGGTGGCGCGAGATCCGGCGTCTGCGGTCCAAGGACTCGATGCTCATGTCCGTCGTTCGTGATGACCCCGAGGAGGCCGAGTTCCTGAAGCGCGTCCGCAACCAATCGACGCTTCCGAAATACGACGTGCAGGAAGACATTGCCGAGATTGTCCTCCAGTTTGGCTACCTCACCCTCTTCTCGCCCGTCTGGCCCCTCATCCCAATGGGCTTCCTTATCAACAACTGGATTGAGCTGCGCTCCGACTTTCTCAAGATCTGCATCGAGCACCAGCGTCCTCACCCCGTCAGGACGGACGGCATCGGGCCATGGATTTATTCCCTCGACCTTCTCACCTGGCTCGGCAGCATTTCGACCGCTGCCATTGTCCACCTCTTTGGCTCGAGCCACCTCGGAAGTGGTGGCTGGTGTGCTTTGCCCGTCACCATTTTTATCAGCGAACACATCTTCCTCGTGTTCCGCTCACTCGTGTGCTTCGTCCTGCAGCGCCTCGGCTCGAAACAGATTCGCAAGGAGCGCAACGAGAGGTACGCCACGCGACTGAAGCGCCTCGAGGAGCTCGAGGCCAACAAGCGGAACGGTCTGGGGCTGAGCGTCGCCGAGAGGGAGCGCCGAAAGTCGGTTCGTGCCACGGGCAGCGACACGCTGTTCACGAAGCAGGTGGAGGAGGGGCTCAGTGCCGTAGTCGGTACAGGACTGATCAAAAGAGTCAAACAGCAGGATGCCGACGCGGGAACAGAGCCCAAGCTCGATTAGAGCATTATGCAGACAAGTCAATCGCGCAAATTGAGTCCTCATATGACGCTGGTGACATTGAATTCCACCTTAACAAGTGGGACAAGGCCAAGAGGTCTGGATATCAACGAGTGACATCATTCCAGAGTCAAGACCAACGACCACTGGCATATTGACAAGAACCAATACTCAGAACAAACATGAGCATCAACTGCTTCTGTTTTCTCTCACTCTCTTCCATTCCACAACGCGCCGCATAGACACATCCTCAAACACCAAAAGTGAACATGTCCGCCCAATTCGACCTCCCAACGTCCTTCGCCACCTGCTCCATGGGCCTTCCGCACCATACCCTCGAGCAAAAGCTAGCCGCCATCTCCTCCGCCGGCTTCACCGGCATCGAGCTCGCCTTCCCAGACCTGCAGACCTTCGCCACGCGGCACGCCCACCGCGACATTGCCGCAGACGACTACCCCGCCCTCTGCAAAGCCGCCACCGCCATCCGCTCCCTCTGCCACGCGTCCAATCTCGCCATCATCGTGCTCCAGCCCTTCTCCAACTTTGAAGGGTGGCCCGAGGGGAGCCCGCAGCGCGAAGAGGCCTTCAGCCGCGCCAGGGGGTGGATCGACATCATGGACGCCCTCGGCACGGATATGCTGCAAGTCGGCGCGTCCGATTCGCCCGGCATATCGGCCTCCGTGGCGGAGCTGGCGGCCGACCTCGTGGCGCTGGCGGATCTGCTGGCCGAGAGGGGTTTCCGCCTCGCGTACGAGAATTGGTGCTGGGCCACGCGGGCGCCGCTGTGGCGGGATGCGTGGGAGGTTGTGCGCGCTGCGGACCGGCCGAACGTTGGGCTCTGTCTTGACACGTTCCAATCTGCCGGTGGGGAGTGGGGTGATCCGACGACCGCGTCTGGACTGATAGAAGACCTGGGGGAAGGCCCGGACGAGCTGCGAGAGAGGTACAGGGCGAGTTGGGCGGAGCTGGCCAAGACGGTGCCTCCGGAGAAGGTGTTTTTCTTGCAGATCAGCGATGCCTATCTCATGGATCCGCCGCTGAAGGATAGCGTTGACGAGTCCGGAACGAGACCTAGGGGGCGCTGGAGTCATGATTATCGACCGTTGCCGTATGATGGGGGATACTTGCCGATTGTAGAGTTCTTGGAGGCTGTTCTCATGACGGGGTTCCGCGGGTGGTTGAGTGTCGAGGTGTTTGATGGTAGGTTTGAAACGAAGTACGGGAATGACCTTGGTGGGTATGCCACTAAAGCAAAGGAAGCTGTCGACAGGATGTTGGATGAGATGGATCCGGACAAGGTCACAGGCGAGGTTGTCTGATGGGTTCAGCGCAGAGACAACAGGCGGCTGTTTCAGCCTTTGTATTGCAAGTTCCTTGCATACGTTCAGTTTATCTGCCTAATCTATGCCTCAAACGTCAGGAGCACATCCCCACAACTTTCACGCATCTCCAGACTCGGGTAGAGTGCTTCATCCATGTTTAGCTGGGCGTGCTGGTAGGCAGGCAAGAGCAAGCCGACGAGACCCTTGAGATGACGTTAGTCGGGCAGGCCTTGACCGCATATTCCGGAACAACAGCCACGTCAGCGACGAACGTCTTGGTGAATTCTCCACAGAACTCCTGGCTCTCCTCGAGGCGGCCCTCGATGCTGCTGGAGCGTAGAGCACGGAGACAGTTGTCAGCGTTGCAGCTCTTCGGCTTGCAGGCCTCCCGCTTGGTCATCTTGGCGAGGAAGCCACCACGCTCGATGGTGTTGATGAAGATGTAGCCAGATTCAAACATAGCGTAGGAGGCCCACGACCCGACAAACTCGAGGCTACCGCCACCAGGGAGATCGTCATCTTCGGGGTAAATATCGAGGTACGCAATCTCGCAGACGCTGTTACCCGAAGGGTCTTCAGGGACAGAAGAGACGTCGTAGATGCGGACGCCAGCACCATAGTTTGATTGATACACCAGCCCGTCCTTGACATACTGGTTATGGTCGATGCTCCTCACGTTACCCTTGTAAAGGCCAGTGTTCTTGGGGTTCTCGAGGGAACGAATGTCCCAGATGTACGTGACAGGGTAGCCGTCACGAGCTGGGCCGATGACGTCGTACTCATCGTACCTACAGAAGTTAGGGCGGAAGAATTGCGATTATGCGGAAAACGTACTCATCATCCATAAAGAGCCACTCCTGATTCTTGGGATCGAGGAGCCAGCCTTGGTGGGTGTATGTCGCGCCCTCGTAAGAAGTGATGGAGATGATGGTTGAGTTGGACTTGTCCGTGACATCGAAACTATGTCAAGGTTAGCCATTGATCTCGCGTACGAAAGGGGCGAAAGTTGCCCACATTGTCAGGGTGTCCTCGTTGTAGCCATAGCAGATATCGCGTCCCTCGTACTTCTTGTCAGGGCCGTGGTAGACGAGACATTGAGCCTGAAAAGTGTCAGCAAGGCTATCGTTTCTCTGACATCGGTGAGGTGAACAACTAAAGCCACACCGAAAACTCACATCATGTGTGTATCCGTCTTGGGGGTCACAACCAGTTTTGACGGGGTTGGTAGGGTCAGACAAGTCGAAGAAGATCAACCCACCGAAGCAACCGCCATTCCGAGGACGAGCTCCGACGGCGACACCATATTCAAGTTCTTCGTTCACAACCACGTTGTGGGTAGCCCCCAGGGGCAGGTCGGCGAAATGGCCCGTCAGATCCTTCTCGTTCGTGAATTCGACGGGAGCGTTGGCAGCGGTGATGTCGAGAAGCTTGGTCATGTCAAAGATCTGAATACCATGGCCCTCGAGCTCGCTACCAATGAGAACGTAGTTCTTGAAGGTTCGAATTTCCTTCCACCACGCGTCATCATTTGTCGGGGCGAACGCAGGACTGTCAAGGAGTCAGCCAAGGTTGAGTGACGAGTGGCGTGAAGCTTACAGGAAGCCGAGCTTCAAAAGCTTTCCTTCTGGGAGGATTTCGATGAAGGACGTGCCATCGAACATGCCGTTGGCTGTTGGAGGTTAGTATTCGAAGCTTTGGCCCAGTATACTTCGACTTGACCTACCAATGAACTCTCGTCCCGACTCTGGATCTGTCCAACCCCACGTAGAGCTACCAGTGCGACCTTGCGAGTCCGATGACGGCGAACCCAGCTCTGCATGGTTGATAAAGTCATACAGATCCATGTTCTTGCACCGAAAGGTATGATGAGGGTCCCCAGGAATGGCTGTGACCTTTCCATCTACACACTTGGTGTAGTTGAGCTGGGGCCATTGTGACGAGTCGATCATACCGGAGTCGATCTCAGACTTCCAGAAGGCCTTCTTCTTCCCCATGATCGTCTCGTGCATCTTGCCGCTGTCATACAGCTCTGAAGACACATTAGCATCGGCCATGGTATGCAAGCATTGTGACCTCGTGTGGTGAGATCATGAGGACAACTGACCAGCCGCGCGCGCCTCGTCCTTGGGCAGTTCCTTAGCAAAAGAGACAGAGGCAGCGGTCAGGGCCGCGCCTGTCAGAGTAGCAAAGCGCATTTGAGATTCGGCCGCGATGACAACCAAAAGGCTAGATGGGAAAGTAAGAATTCGGACGAATAACACGAGGTCAAGCAACGGTTCGGGGACCACGACTGGGGTGGTCTATTTATTTTCTCCCGAGCTCCGGATCTCGCAGCCGAAGGCCAAGAACTTCCATGCTGGAGGGAGACCTAGCCAACAATGGGCTTTGGATATATTCAGAGCTGTCCATCGACCGAATCCTTGACCATCTGCATTTCCATGTAGATCAAACACCAAGTTAGGAAGGCAGGTACATCCTTGGCATCAGGTACCCTGGGGGCCAACGAATAGCCATGCGATAAGAGGACCTTACGACTTCGAGTAGTCCCCGCAACCCCGCAGGATAGATCAAGTCTACATTTTATCCATAAAGATCTCAACGAATGGCCAATCGGTCTTTGATGAAATCGGAAGGAGAAGTTGTGTGGGAGGAGAAATGGGACTTTGGTAATCCTTTAGCGCCAAGACCTTTGGCAAATACATGCCACAATGGGCGACCAAGTAGCTGACATGCATCTTGCCTGAGGAACCCTCTGTAGCTGGCGAAGTCTTCACGGGTTCACCACGTGCCACGTTAATGTTATCGGAAGCTAACGGACTCATGATTAACAATGCAACTTGTATATATGGTTTCCTGCAATCAACTTCTAAAGGAATGCAAGTTGCCTAGTTGCGCTCAAGCAGTGAGAATCATGGGTGTGTGACAATTTTGCGGCAGGCTGGCCTCCTGAATTAGTCGGTCTCTTATTCCCAGAGTAGGCAGCACAAATCGCAAGTCAAATTCTTCTCAAAGCCTGAGGAGTCCATTAAGAAGCTCATCTCCTCGACTGTTCGCCTGTTCGATTCTTCTCGCGTGACTAAGGAACGGTGGGTGGTGTTGAAAATGTTGGTGGTATTCGCCTGGGGGCTTCCAGCGGTCACCTGATGCCAGGTGGCCTGTGCCCTGGCACCTCCCTCCTATAGCTTAGTTCCAGGCACCCTCCTGCCCTAGAGAATAGCTTCCGAATACAACAACTCCTTTTCCTCCCTAGACCTCCAACAGAAAAGACAAGGCGGAGAACAGCGTCGTGATCAATGCCAAACGCGCAGCGAAATAGCGCGCTGAGCCAACGGCTACTGATGAATTAAGCTTCAGAACCAAGCATTGGCTAATTCTTCTCTCTGCAGCGGCACGGCCATTATTCAAGTATGGTCTACAGCATTTTGGTTCAGTATAATCATTGTTCTGTCACTTGACGGTGGGTTGTCGTCACTCCGCAAAACGCTCCGGTGGCGAAGCCGCCCCACGTCATCCATGGTCAGAGCAGACAAACGACATGAGCTACGCGAATGAACAGGCGCATCTGCTCCGGCGTTTGACTGAGGCACGATGAATTCACACGGCCATGAGAGGTGTTTAAGAGTGGCAGGATACAGTTCTTCTACTGTGCGATAAACATCAATGGAGATTCATCAGGAGCATTGAGGGCATCCTTGGATCCCTAAACCCTCCGGGCAAGTTCAGCGATTCGCCCTCAGTATCACGATGACGTCGGCCAACATCATAACTTCATAAGAAGGCTTCACAACATGCCCGTGACCTCGGCCGTGGCGAAGTGGTTGAGTGCATATATGACAGCCCAGTCACTCATGGACATCAACACTCTGAAGGTTTCGTTACGATAAATATTGCTCGCGATACCACAGATCCACGTATCCGACATCGCATCAACATACACAACGATTCAACTACTTGATTCCAGAAGCACAATACCATCAATATGAGCATCACCGACGAAGTTGCGCAGGAGACTCAGGATCTCTTCGGCAATGACGGCTTGGCAGGCAAGGTACGGCCTCCCACCTGCCTCGTATTGACACAAATCATGCGCTAACATGGAATCACAGATGGGTACCACTCTCAAGTCCAGCAACCTCTCCGGGGACAACAACGCCAAGGAGTCGAGCACCAAGGTAGCCGACAGCAACGACACTTTCGCAGAGAAGCTCAGCAGCTCCGCTGCCCACAACACCCAGCAGAACACGTCGAGCACCGACGACGCCAAGACGAGCGGCATCGCCTCAGAGGCGAGCCACAAGGCGCAGGAGGGCGGGAAGTCCCTCGCTGACCAGGTCAACGGTGCAGCGGCCAATACCTCAGACCAAGTCAACACATCAAACCAGAAGAGCGACAGCTCCGGTGGCGGCATTCTCTCGGACGTAGCCAGCAAGGCACAGGAGACAGGAAAGTCGGCCGCCGACCAGGCCAGCAGCACCGCCTCGCAAGCATCAAAGCAGATTCAGGACTCGACCACGAAGAGTACGTCTGATGAAGGTATTCTCTCGGATGCATCGAAGAAAGCCCAGGAGACCGGACAGGCGGCCAAGGACACTGCGAACAATGCGGCCTCTAGCGCCTCGGAGAAAGCCAGTGAGGCAACCTCAGGAGACGGTTCGAACGACGGTGTCATCGCGAATGCCGCTAGCAACTTGCAGGCCGGCGGACAAGCGGTCGTCGATAAGGTGAAGGAGACTCTCGGTGTGTCTACCGAGAGTAGGACGGGCACCAACCAGAATGGGAAGCCGGTAACGGAACAGGTGAAGGAAGCCTTGAATGTTGGGAACAATAAGGCGAACAACAACCAGTCTTAGAAGGGAATATCTAGTTTCGTGTGAAATGACGCAAGTAGTTATAATGAAGCAAAGCCTGTAATACCACATATCCTTCCTAAACGAAACCTCAGATGCCGAGTCAGTTGAATTTGCGCAACCTCGTTGTTCACGATGGTACCCCAGCGG